ACATTGCTGCCATCCACACTGCCCCTTATCAGTCCTAGCAGTAACATAAGAAACATAAGAAACAAAAAGTTTTAGAGTAGTTTAATAAAACAAGAACCTGGGCTGTTTTGTAAACATTTCATTTTGTCAATTTTCCCAGACCATGCAATATCTTTTTCAAGGACTGAAGATAACCTTATGTCTGAGACCCTATTTCAGAATCACAGTTTTTTGGAGAAATTGACTATTTTTTTTGTTTTTGTTATTTTTTAAAAATAGCATCCTGGGTATGAAATTATTCCATTTATTTTTCAAACACGTTCCTGGGAGGAGAAGCAGCCAAGAGGAAAACTTGAAAAAAAAATTTGAATTTCTATCATTGGCTGAATGTTAAGAAGGCTAACTTTGGAATTTAGAATATACCTTCATTCTGAGGATCCAAAGCTTTTCTCACATTCAATTTATTCTTTTAGATCCCCTGTGAGAATAAGAAGGAAATGATTTTCATCCCCATTTTACAATCAAGAAAACTGAAACATAAAGCAACATGTGATTAAAAGATAAAGGATTCAAATTTGGGCTTCCCAGTCAGGACAGAGACTTACTCTTCCTCACCCCATACTTTTATTAGGATCTCTTCTTTACTTATTTTCATGCATTCATTTTCTCATTTAGTTTAATGAAACAATTATGGTTGAGAGGCAGTGTCACATAATGGATATGAAGCTGGCCTCAAGGTCAGGAAGTTAGGATGGATGGATAGATGGATAAATGGACAGGTGGATAGATCAACAGATATATGGATGAATAGATAGATGGATAGGTAGATGAATGAATGGATGGATAAATGGATGGATGGATGAATGGATGGCCAGAAGACAAATAGATGAATGGATGGGTAGATAGATGGATGGATAATTGGATAGACAGACAGATGGATAGATGGATGGATAGATAGATGTATAGTAGATGGATGGATAGATGAATAGATAGATGAGTGGATGGATAGATAGGTAAACAGATGTATGAATGGATAGATAGATATTTAGATAGATATAGATAGATAGATAGATAGATAGATAGATAGATAGATAGATAGATAGATAAAATGAAATTTATTAAATGCTTACTATGTGCCTGGCACTGTGCTAAGCATTGAGGATACATATATGAGTCACAAAGGTAGTACCTACACTCAAAGACCTTGTATTCTAATAGAGGCAAGACAACACATAAAGGGAATTGGAAAGTGAAGGACAGGGAAGTAGAAAGCGTGGCTTCCCGTGAAGGCAGGGACTGTTAAGATTTTGTCTTTGTGTTCCAGTATCTAGCATGTTGCTGGCACATAGGAGACACTTAACAAATACTATCTTTCTAGGTTTGTGTGATGTTGTTCTCTTGTTCTCCTCCCACCTGTCTGACCGCTCCTTCTCAGTTTCCTTTGCTGCATCATCATCCAGGTGTCGGGGGGGAGGGGAATATTTGCAAGCAGGCTCAGTCCTAGGTCCTTTTAACTCTTCTATGATTTTTCTTGGCTGTCTCACCAGCATTCATATGCAAATCTTATGTTCATGTAGATGGTTCTCGAATCTGCCTGCCCAGCCCTAACCTCTTTCTTGACTTTCAGTTTCACATCTCCAATGGCTGAATGGACATCTTAAAGTCTTAAATTCAGCATGTCCAAAACTAAATTCATTACTGTTCCCCCCAAACCCTTCCCTTTCCCAAATTCCCTCCTAGTTACCCAGGTTCTTAATCTAGTTTTCATCCTTGAATACTTCACTCTCTGTCACCTCCCATACTTAATCTGTTTGCCAAATCTTATCTGCAACTTCTCCCATAAAATTCTCCTTCTCTTCTCTGACAGTATCCTCATTTTGGCCTCATCATTGTGTCCACTACACTCTCTTCTCCTCCACTCAGCAGTCAAAGCGATTTATGGAGGCCAGCTCCTGTTCAATACACTCCAGTGACACTTGCTATTATCTCTAGGATCAAATAGAAAATCCCATTTGGCCTTTAAAGACTCTCATGACTTGGCCTCTTCCGGCCTTTCCACTGTTCTTAGCCTTTCCTCCATTCTATGTACTCTGCAATCCAGTGGCAGCAACCTTCTTGTTGTTACTGAAACAAGATACTCCATCTCTCAGTTCCAAGCCTTTGCATTGGCTGTGCCCCATGCCTGATACTCTCTACCCTCACTTCTGCCTCCTGGCTTCCCTTAAGTCTCAGCTAAAATCTTTTCCTAGTCCCCCTTAATGGTATTGCCTTCCCTCAGAGATTAGCTCCAAATATCCTAATACAGCACATATATGCACACATATTGTATATGTATATATGTGTATACATACATTTAAGTATAATATATAGACATTCACATGTGTATACATATACAAACAGTATAATATATGTGCATAAAACATTTTTGGTATATTATCTATGGTATAATACATAGGTTATATATAAAACATTATGTATACATATACATATACATACATATATATATATATATACATATATGTATATTTATATTTGATACATACATAATTTTTACATGTTGTCTCCCCCACCCCCAATTGAAAGTGAGCTCCTTGTGAGCAGGGAGGACTGGGTCATTGCCTTTCTTTGTAACCTCAGGCTTTAGTACAGTGCCTGGAGCATTATAAGTACTTAATAAGTCCTTGTTGACCAACTAGCTAACTGGGAAGACTTGAGTTCAAGCCCTCTCTCTTACACATACTGGCCAAGTCACTTAACTTCCTAGGGGCAACTCCCTCAGACTCCAATAGGCAGAGAAGGTGCTTCTCTGCATAAGAGAGGAGATTACTCAATAATGCACATCCATACTGCTGAAATCACAGAACCATCTTATCTCAGTTCCAAATAATTAGATATTAATGTGTGGATAACATAAAACTCTGTGAGATTTGGGGAAGAGTCCTGGATTTGGTTTCAGAGGATTTGAGATGGAATCCTAGCCCCATCACTACCATGTGATCTTGTGCAAGTCACTTCCTCACCTCCTTGGCACTCCGCTTCCTCGTTTGCAGCTGAGAAGTTGGAATGCATGATTTCTAAGGTCCTTTACAGCTTCAGTCCTTATGACTTAACAAAGCTTGAAGAAGTCATATCATCTTAATTCAAAGATTTTTGCCAACTTTCCTCTCCCCATCCCCAGTAGAATACAGGTTCATCAAGTGCAGTGCCCACCTTCATACCCAGGTGTCAGGCAGAATACCTAGCACACAGTAGGACCTTAATACAGGTTTGATGAATTAAATTGTCTGAGAAGTCCAGGCATGTTGGGGCTGGAAGGAACTATATATTGATCCAAGAATTAAAAAGAATACATTAGGCACTTATTATATACCAGGCATCATGTTAATGGTTGAGGCAGAAACAGTCCCTGCTCCCTCAGAACTCACATTCTAGTAGAGGAGATAGCATGTAGATAGTAAGGACATACATGATACATACAGAGCAGATGGAGGGTCTTATCTGTGGATGATGAATGAAAGGACTCTGACTGAAGGATTATTAGGGATCATTGACTCCAAGCCCTTGATTTTACAGATGTGGAAACTGAGAGGCAGCGTGGTGCAATGGAAGAGGCAGCCTTGCATCCAGGCAGTCCCACATTCAAGTCCTTTTTTTCCCTCCCTCCCATCCTGAGTCACAAGCTCTCAGTGCTCTCAGCAGCTCTCTGGGATTGGAACATGCCAACATGTGGTTCAACCAAATTGCCATATTAAGAATTCCTTTTACCAATGAAATCAGCAAAGGTCCAGAAAACAAAACACAACTGCTGACAAAAGACCTAAGGTCTGGAAAAGATAATTGTATATGGCCGAGGTCACCTAGCAGGTTCATAAGATTGGCAGGGCTAATGCTCCATTGCACCAACACCGTGGGGTTTCTCAAACATACGGTAATTTCCCTCCATTTCTGAACACTCAGAAGTGAATGGAAAACAGCGTCAGTCAAAACTGCCTTTTCTTGACCTGTAGCTAAAGAGTGAGGTGTGCCTGTCTTTGCCATGGCACCAAATTGACTCCAGGGTAAAGATAAGACTTTGAGACACAGAAGGAAGATGGCAAACACAGCCACTATAGAGAACTGTAACTGATGATACATCATTGTATGTAAATTGTATCACACATGACATCAACACATGTGTATGCATAGGGGTATAACATACATGTAGGCATACATGCATGGGTACATATAACCCACATATGCATGTGTGCACATAACATGAATGTCTGCGTACCCATGTGCGCACAGATATGTATGCATGGATGCACACAACACAAACGAACAAATGAGCAACATAACACATGTATGTGCATGTATATGCAGATACATACAACACATACTTGTGCATGGGTGCATAAAACACATGCATGTGCCTGTGAACTTAGGCACATATAGCATCACATAGAGGCATCTACAATGTGCACATTAAATGTGTATGCATGCATACATGTGTTCACACAGCACACTTGTGAATGTGTGCGGGTGCATATAACACATGTATGTGCATGTGCACATGGACATGCATGCACAGTGTCACCTGAGAAACAGGAAGATCTGGGCTTAAGTCCTGCCTCAGATATGCACTGACTGCATGCCTCTGGGGAAGTCTCTGCTGCTCTGAGTGCCCCCAGGTAACTCTGTAAGACTCTTAAGTTTCAGAGAAGATGCTGAGATGCATTGGAAGAATCCTTTTCCTCACTGGGGAGTTCTGAACACTGATGAAGTCACAGGCTCACTTCCCATTATATGTGTATGTATATATATATATATATATGTATACATATATGTGTATATATACGTATATATATATGTGTGTGTATATGTGTGTGTGTGTATGTGTGTGTGTGTGTGTGTGTGTGTGTGTGTGTGTGTGTGTGTGTACGTATCCCCTACTATGTATGGGTATGTTTATGTGTATGTATGTTTGCATTCTCTTCTAACGTCTTCTTCTGCCACACTAATGAGGAAGTATTTTTGGTGTCTAGGCTTTCAACAAGTCATGAATCCCCGGGATTATCCAGCCCACATCCCCTGATCTTTTTAAAGAACTGAAGCATTGAATTGAAGAAAGCATTTCTGAGAACATTCCCATTTCCATTCCAGGTACAATCTTTGCAAGACTTTAGGCTTCTTGAAACTTTGAAACTTTTCTCCCTTTTGATTTTTTAATTGCCTATTTTCCTCAACTGCTTGCACTAAAAAGTGCAAGGCTGTGTGTTTTCTTAAGTGACAACAAAGTAGGTGAAAAGCTTACCAACCTATTCCACAAAGTTTCCAATATAATCCTCTCAAAGCCCAATTCCAATCTCCACTGCCTCTAGGGTTAAATATAAACCTCTCAGCCTATCCCTTAAGGACCTCCATTGTCTGCCTCTAATCTACCTTTCCAGCCAAATGAGACTATTAGCTCTGCCCCTGGACTCAATATTATATTTCTGGCCTCCCTGTATTTGTCTGAGGCAGCTAGGTAGACCTGGAGTCAAGAAAAATTGAGTTCAAATTAGCCTCAGAAAGGGACTAGCTGTGTGAGCCTGGGCAAGTCATCTAACCTACATCTGCCTCAATTTCCTCACCTGTAAAATGGAAGGACTGATATCACCTACCCTCCAGGGTTTTGGGGCAGGTCAGATAAGACTGTGTTTGTATTGTGCTTTGGAAACTTCAAAGTGTTACACAAATAGGTATTGTTATCTTCCTTACCTCTCTCCATCTCCACTTCTCAGAATCCTTTAGCTTATTACAGGTCTATCTCTGGTGTCATCTACTCCATTACAACTCCCCTGACTTTCTGTTACTACTCTCCCTAGCTTAAATCACTCTCTATTTACGTGTCGTGCATCTATTGGACATTGCACACTACGTGTCCCTTTGGCCCATTCAGTTTGACATACTCAAAAGAGAACTCATTTTCATTCCCCCACACCCTCTCTTCCTCCCATCTTCTCTAATTATGATAGACGTAATCATTTTTTTCTCTTTGCTCCCCAACATCAATTGCTGAACCTTGTCATTTCTTTTTCTATAGCATCTCTCACATGTCCCCTTCTTTCCATTCTCATGGCCACCCCTTCAGCCCATTTCCTCTTGAAGGGACTATTGTAAAAACCTCCTAATTGGTTTCCTTGCTTCAAATGCCTCCCTACTGTGACCCCATCCTTCCCATGGCGCCAATGTCTGACCATGCCACTTCCCTACTCAATAAACTACAGTACCTTCCTACTATCTACGGGATTGAATACAAATTCTTCCAGCATTTAAACCCTTCATAATCTGGCTCCAACCTGCCTATTGGTCTTTATATGAAAAAGTCCAGTCAAACTGGCCTCCCCACTGTTCCTTATACAGGATGACTGCTTCGTCTCCCAGCTCTACATCTTTACGGTGGTCATCTTTGGAATGCTCTTCTTCCCCCCCTCTGCCACTGAGAATCCTCAGATTCCTTCAAGATTCTGCTTAAGCCTCACCGAGGTGAATTCTTTCTCGATCCTCTCAACCTTACCCAGAATAATCACCTGGTATCCATTCGTTACATAGCTTATTTCTGCCTATACATGTATGCTGTCTCTCTTGATAGAATGTTGGCTCCTCGAAGGCAGGGGCAGCACCAGATAGGAGATTAATAAGTGCTGCTTGATATTGTATCTCCCTAGTAAAGTGTAGACTCCTCAATGCGAGGGCCTGTTTCTCTCTTTTCATCCTTAGCTTCTAGCAGTGTCTTATTACACAATCGGCTTTTCATAAATGTTTGCTGAATTGTGCTGAAGCTCTAAGCTCAGGCATTTCTCTGAAATAGACCTATGAAGGATTGAAACTCCAGGCAGAAATTAGAGTTTGTGGTACAGGAAAGGAAAACCCTCACTTCTCAAGACTTAATGTATAGGACAATAGGGTCATAAAATAATAGACTGAGCCATTGAAGAGGCCTCAAAAGCTAACAAAGATCACCCCCCTCCTTTTATTTTACAGATGAAGAAATTGAAAAGAGCTTAGGGGACTTGCCAGCATCACAAAGCTAGTATGTGTCTGAGGATGGGATTTGGATTCACAAGTCCAACTCTCTATCTGCTACATTGACTTCTTGACAAATTAGAAGGTAGCGATCCGATGGGTGACCCAGGACTTCTATGTTTCTAAGGAGAACCTCAGGTTCTCAGAGTGTGCCCACTCTCCCATCTCCTTCACAGTCACCTCTTGAGCTAACGCACTTTCCCACTGCCACCCTGGCCCCGCCCCCTGTCCTGCCAGGCACCCTACCTTAAGCTATTGCTCAAGGATTCTGCAATTCTACTGCATGGCAGGAGGAGACTGAGGGAAAGGGCAGTGCCCCATCCTACCAGGAGCATAGCTTCTGAGGAGAGGTGTTCTGGCCATCCCAATGTAGAATTTTGGGTGCACTTTCTCGTGGAAGCATTGTTACCCTTGACAGTTAGGCTTTGTAATATTTTCAGCTTAGCACTCAAACCCCAGATCACTTATGGGCTCGATAAGATTTCTTGGACTGGGCCCAGAACCTCATAACCAAGAATGTATACCAATGTTTCTATGGGAAACCACATTCCGAATTCCAAAGCAGCGACTTAGATGAAAATGTTTGGAATACCACCTATTCTTCTATTCAGGACAGTGACTTTTTAATCATCACTGGGGTCTTGCCACAGCAAAGTCAAACAAGAAGGAAATGTGGGAGCCTCTTTGGGCCTGCTTCTTTTTTTTTTTTTTGCTGGTGCTGCCTACCTTAGTTAAATTTGTTCAGGGCTGAGAAAGTTTGGTATCTGTGAGAGAAGCTGCCACCATCTTTGACTCGGAGCTCCAGCTGTCTCCCTCCACCACACTGCCTCAGAGACAGGGATTTCCACCAACTCAGTATAACTATAATATGCACTTTGGTAGACCCACAATTCTGAAATACATGCTACATCTCTGGAAATTTCCTGTGTGCACATCAATCCATCGCGGCATTTGGATAACCACTCAAACACTCATGGTAAATAATGACTTTAAAAAACGTAGAGTTCAGTTCTGATGGCCTCTGTTGGAGACTATCCTAGGTCACGTCTAAAATAAAATCCAAAGGCTTGGTCTGGGTGGAATTAGGTCCCATTATTCAATCCACTCCACCTACATGTACTCAGTGAGGTGTCTTGTCCAATTCCACACAGCCCACAGTGATTAAGCACCTATTCAGTGCCAAGATTGCTCTAGGGGCTGGGGATACAAAGACAGAAACAAAAATAGTCTTTGGCTTCAAGGAACTTCCATTCTGTTGTCAAATTAAAATGGACCTAGGTATAAAATGGGCAGCACCCACCTGGGTGCAGTGGATAGAGTGCAGGGCCAGGATTTGGGAAAACTCATCTTCCTGAGTTCAAATTTGGCCTCAGCCACATACTAGCTGTGTGACCCTGGACAAGTCACTTAACCTTGTTTGCCTGAGTAAAATCAGTTGGAGAAGGAAATGGCAAACCACTGCAGTATCACTGCCAAGAAAACCCCAAATGGGCTCACAAAGAGTTAGACACGACTGAAAAGCGGTTTGACAACAACAGAAATGAAACTTTTTGATTGGCTAGGGAAGGTTGAAATATTGACAGTCTCTGTCGTATTATCATTTTTCCTGCAAAAATTATGAGAATGAAAACATAAAAACACCAAATTTCCCAGTCTTAGTGGGGTCACTTCCTCCCCTTAACCTCCTCCCCCATCCCACACCTGCAAGCACAGGTAAAGAATACACTGACTGAGCTACTTTTAAGGTCAGATTCAGCAGTCACAAGATCCTGTGAGTAATCTGTGATCCAATTTCACTTTAGCTTTTCAATAGAAGCCCTGCAAAGAGATGGGTAAACCAGCATTGACCTTCATCCCTGGGCAACCATGTACTGCTCACCTTTCTGCGCTTTCACCAGGAGCTTTGTAAAACGGGTTGTTGTGGGGATAAGATGAAGGCAATTAATTTTATTTCTTTCTGCTGGCTGACAGAGCTCCTGAGTGAGAGCTTCAGCTCTGGCTGCTGGCTGCCTTACACTCCACATATTGTGTGTGAGTGTTTGGGGGCACAGGTGAGGGCTCAGTGTAACATGGATAGGAGGCATGGCTGTAATCTACAGAATTAGCAGCCCTCAGTGCTAAGAATCATGGGGATTTCTGTAGCATTTGTAGGTGTGCCAAGAACTTTACAGAAATGACCTCATTTAAGCCTCAAAACAACTCAATGAGGCAGATTCTTGAAGGCATTATTTAGCCCCATTTCAGAGATGAGGAAACTGGGGCTTAGGAGTTAGTCAATCAATCAAACATTCATTAAGTGCCTACTGCGTAGTGCTAAGCTCTGAGAGTTACACAGCTAGAAAGTGTCAAGGGCACACAACAGAAGCCTAGCCATTTCCAAGTCAAGTGCCCTATCTGTCATACACACTGTCTCTCTGCTGGATATAATGGTCCTCCTCTCTCCTCAACAGCTTGTTGTGTGTAAGATTGAGGCTGATCTGCTTTACAAAACTCCTCCAACAGCCTTGAGTGGATTTTTTCTCCTGTGTACAAAACACTAAATGGCTTTGTTTCTCCTCTCTCTTAACGTCTACCAGCTGCTCCAATAACAATAAGTTAAATATGCAAACAAAGACATAATGGAATGTTTACTGGGGGCTCAGTTTTGGACCCATTTTGTGCATTCCTCATGTTGTTTGATAGCAAGGCCTTCTCCCCAAACCCAGCTTCCTTTACCAACCTGATGGCAGGCATTGCTTCAGGGTAGGTTGGGGCTATATTCCCCCACCCTGAAAACTTGAAGCTTCTTAGCTTCCTCTCAGTACCTAAGCACTCCCCAATTCACCAGGCATCAGCCAGTTAAGTGGTTTTTACAAGCCTGGAACTGGACATGGGATTCAAGCCCTAAGTTGCCTTGCTCCATTCTTATCTGTGATTTTTCAGCATTCAATGCTGCCACTCTCACTACCTTGAATTCCAATAGAAATTTGGCATGACACTGAAAGTTCAGTCAGACTTCTTCTACCCTTTCAGTTCTGAAGAACACAGCCAAACGGCAGCACTCTGGAGGAGAGAGGACCCTCCCTTTGTCCAGACCCCTAATTTTCAGCTTCTGT